ATCATGGAAAGATACACCGCCATGATTTTTGTCTTTGTAATGACCCGCCATAACACAGACTGAGAACACTGCTGATTTCTGAAGTTCTGCCGATGGAATGGATGCCTTGCTGAGATTCCCGCATTCTGCTGAGTTTTCTAAGTCTGTATGTGTGCGTGCTTGTTGACCTGCGTGCCTGTCTGAGTGCTTGTCGGTATGAGTATGTGTGTGACCCGCAAGGGTACTTGCTTGTTTGGCAGGCCCGTAGGGCCGGTACTTACCTGTGGCCATGGCATTGAGGGTTGCAGCAGGGAAAACACTCATGTAGCGAAGCCAGGGGCCCGCGGTGCTTAGAGCAGCGGAAAAACACTCAAGTAGCAGGTAGGTCAGTACCGCACCCAGTAGCAGTAGATGTGCTGGGTACTCGAGGCCGAGCAGAAGAAGACAAAGTTGGCATTTTTAAGGGCCCAGTAGCGGTACGCTAGGTCTAGGCCGGTACCAGTCCATCCAGTCTGAGTCTAGAGCCTATACGGGCAATATCAGAGTCTGCAATGACGTTTCCCTCTGAAAGGGAGGAGGTACCGGTTGCTTGGGAGGCCGAGCGGCCTGGAAGTCACCGCCCAGGAGGCAAGCTGGCTGCTATATCAAGAGGCTGAGGGAAGAGCTCGGCCTCATTCTTCAGTGTGCGAGTTGGGCGTCACGCTGCTGGAGCGTTGGTTGGAAGAGCGCTGGCTGCTACAACGCTGCTGGGAGGAAGAAGCCAGGAGCGTCCACCTTGGCTATGGTGGAGCTCTACCGGTAGGAGGAGGAGGGAGAAGGGGACCAAGGAGGAGAGTGGCGAGGTACTTACCTGGCTATGGCGGACACCATCTTCATCACCTTGTTAGGCGATGCATCTGGAAGACCCCCGTTGGGGTAGTGCCGCACCAAGGAAGCTTGGGGCAGAGACAGGCATGGCGGCCTAGTGAGCAGCGGCATAGCTGCGTTGCGTTGTCCTTTGCACAGGGAGGCAGCGACATAGCTGCTTTGGGTTGTCCTTTGGACAGGAGGGTAGATCCCTCAGTGCTCCGCCATAGCCTCGACCTGCATGTAGAGGAAGAGGAAGGGTGGTCATGGCTATGGTGGACACCCTGGCGGCACGACACTTACCTGAGTGGCGGGGCTCTTGAGATGAAAAAACTCACCCCCCTCTCACATAGTCCTCCTGACCCAATTAGCATCCTCTACACTAGTGTCCTATCATCTAGGAGGGTCAACATCTACCCCAAAGTACAAAGTCGGATCCCCCGTTGATGTTGAAGATCAAAGCAGCAACTTGCAGTCCGTAGGTGCAGATATGGCTGCCACCCTCAAGCTCGCCTAACTTGATGGGAGCCCTAAAGTCACTCCTCGTCTTCCTTGAAGTCCAGATTCAAGTTGTAGGTGCCCTTCACTGTCGCCTCTCTCAAGTTGCATCACGAAGTCCCACCTTGTGTCTCGCCACCACAACCATGCTTACAAACAACCTGGCCGGGTCTAATGTCGACCCTACACGGCCCTGTCAGGTGGGAGCAACTTCCCTTCACCACGCTGCCCCACTTAACCCTAACTTCCAGCCCTGACCCTAAGTGGTTAGCCCTTACTACTTAGGGATGGCGGCAAAGTCAACTCTCGCCAGCAAGTAGAATCCGCTCCGATACCAATGTTACGATCCTGGCCAATTCCGAAATATACATTCATCAGAAAGTACAATGTCGTCCGATTGCAAAAGGAAATGAATGAACTTGAGAGGAGAGAGAGGGAAAGAAGAAGAAGAAGAAGAAGTAAGAAAGAAGAAAAAGATGATGTACTCCAGCATAGGCCAATGACAAGGCTCTTCTTCTTCCCCAACCAATCTCCTCCTCCTTATCTCCTCCCCTCTTATTCAAACAAGAAATAACAATAATAATGTTGAATGGCTGAACCAGAATCAATGTCCGAATCCCACTTCTACTGTGGACTACTTACTCGCCTGATGAGTGAATGGATGGAGTATCTTGTGTGCCATGTCATATCTTTCTACAATGCTTTGTCTATTTCATTCTGGACGGCTGTCGTTTGTGGGTTCTTTCTGGGGCTAAATTTCGTTTTTCAATTTGGTAGGGACAGAGAGTAGGTCTTTGTGGAAATCTTGTTGGTTGGGACCCGGTTCTGACTCCACTGGGACCGTTTGGGACTCAGTGGGACCGTGCCCAAACAAGAAGGGCCCCTCAGGCCCAAATTTGTTGACGTCAATTACATTGCTCTATCTGATTGGGACTCGGGATTCATGCTTTCGGACCAGGACACTCGCTGCTGAGGGGATCTCAACTGAGACGTTCTTAATGGACTTTACCGCACGACCTGCCGCCTGACTCGCACCTTGGACACCACTCAATTCTCTCTTGCATTACGTCATACACTTTGAATCTGATTTGTTGTGTCTTTACGGAGCTGAGTCTGGCTAGGCTTGAGAGGACCTCATACGTAGTCGGTCCAGACTGTGTGGCGGAATCAGATCTCTTTGATCTTTATGTTTTTGTTGACTGCTCTCCTGTCCAAATGAATTGCCGCTCCGACTAGGAGTTCTACCTTCTCTTCTAACTGCTTTCAAGACTGTTTCTTTCATTGGGTTCTTTAAATGCCTGCATCTACACGATCACAAACGAGAGAGAGAGAGAGAGAGAGAGAGAGAGAGAGAGAGAGAGAGAGAGAGAGAGAGAGAGAGAGAGAAGAGAGAAGTTTTTGAGCATTGCTCTTGAGGGAGTGAGGAGAGGGAAGAGGAGTGTTCGTCCCAGAAGTGTGAGGAAGTACGAACCTCTCTTGAGAGACTTATTGACTCCCTCGACCTCCATCATGGCATCTGCCGCAGAATGGAAGCTGCAAATGGACGTTGCCCCTGAGGCAGAAAAAACGCAGTACCTGTTCTTTTATAAGAAAGCATTGACGAGGGAAGAGGAAGAGAAGGAGAAGGAGAGGGAAGACAAAGTAAAGGCTCATGAAGCCGTCTTCAGTACTGTGCCTGCCTTAACTGATGCTGAGGTGGAAGAGAAGACTGTCTCACTCCTCAAGGCCTTGGTAGAAGTCTGAGCTGTTGAAGACCATAGTGGCCAACTCGCAAAGGTGTTCGACGAACTCAAGAAGTTGCGGAAGGATATGGCTCTGATGGCGCAGCAGCACCGTGACCAGCTGCAACAGTTTGTTAACTTGCAACCGGCCCAAAGTGTCCTTCCGCATGCTTACTTCGGATCAGGAGATGACTGCGCAATCTTGCTTGGTTGTGATAAAAGGTACGGCCCCCTTTACTGTGACACATCACCTCGGGCTCAGACCCATAACGTATACAGATTGGCTTACCCTCATGCGGGATTTAGTCAAGTTGGAGGCACAAGACCTCCCGGGTGGATCGAGTGGCAAAAAGACCACCGGCCGCAAACGGTTTCCAGACAACAACCGTTTTGCAGCGCACGATCTGCTTGAGGATGACGAGGAGACCTTCGCAGAGGATCCTTCTTTTGATGACGATCAAGAGTAAGGCTGCAAGGCATCTTGCTCTTCGTCAGCCCACGAGTCTGAGTATGTAAATGACGATGAATCTATGAATGCCTTCAAGAAGACTGCCTTCAAAAGTAAGGGACCGAGGACCACAGTGAAGAACAATACTAACACCATTCTCCTTCCCAAGGGAGCGAAGATTCCACCCAAACCGGAAGATCCTGCCACAAAACCATGGGTAGATCTCCGGATCAGTGAAAGTGAGTGGAAACACAGGGTGAAGGAAGGGGTTTGCCTGCACTGCACCAAACTGGGACACTCAGTCCAACATTGTTTGCAACAGGGAAACCAACAACGGGGGTAGAAACGTCATCAGCACCCTCTACAGACGGAGAGGTTGAACATGTAAGTGCAGATCCTGCACTCGATTCTAATTCCACTCAGCAAACCTCTCCTGAGACCCCATCTGATGCTGATTCCAAGGTTGAGAAAGTGCACATCCTATACAAGGAGCCTTGGGTGGAGTCGAAAGAAATTGACTTTCATGCTCTCTTGACGCGCTGGGCTCACATGAAGCAAGAACGCGTGCAAGGGAAAACAAAGTTGATCTTCTTCAAACTCTGCATTAACGTCCGTTACATCCGTGTGTTGGTTGATTGTGGTGCAACCACCAACGACTTCTCACCGCACGACATTCGTAAGGCACGCTTGGGAATGAAGCAAGTGGGCAACCAAGAGGTTGTTACATCTACGCATGCAGTCAAAGGTGTGCGCACTACCTTTGATGCAAACCGCACAATCACGCATGAGTTGAACTTCTATGTCCTTGATCAGTGTCCCTTCGACGCGGTTATTGGCTTGGGCTGGTTGCAGGCCCAATGTGAAAGAGCCACGTGAAAGGACTCAGAATTCATGGTCAAAGATGCCATGGGAATCGAGCGTCCAGTCCTCTTGGATGATCCGCACGAGTCCTAAGTAACTTTTCTCAATGCAATGCAATTCTGCAAAAAGTGGCGCAGGCGCAAAGTTGATGAGCAAATGTATATAGCCTTTGTTAGACCTGCTCATGTACCTTCTATTTCTGTTGTACATAATGATTCTACTTTGCACGTCGTTTCTACTTTTAATACAATTACTTCTACCTCTACTAAGTCTACTTCTAGTCCAATGGCTCTGCTTTAAATTTTGTTGTTTTGGCTGCACCTATGCAATCCGGTATGCTTGCACCTGAAAGTGATGATCCACCTCCGGAAGTCCCATCAGAAATTCGCAACCTTCTCAACCGATTTCCTGCAGTCTTGGGCGAACCGCATGGAGTCCCCTTGCGTCCGGTCCGACACAAGATCGAGTTGAGAGAAGGTAGCACTCCTCCAAAAGGTTGTGTCTATCGAATGGGCTATCAGGCGAATTGGAAGAGTTGCGAAGACAGATCGATGACATGATTGGGAAGGGAAGGATCAAGCCAAGCAAATCCGAATTCGGTGCACCGGTTTTGTTTGTTCCGAAGAGGAGGCAAACTATGGATGTGTATTGATTACCGCAGACTGAATAAAATAACAAGAAAGAATGCATACCCTTTGCCGCGTATTGATGATCTGCTTGATGCTGCAGGTGGATGCAAGGTCTTCAACAAGATCGATCTCAAGTCTGGCTACCACCAGATTGAAGTCGACCCTGCAGACCAGCATAAAACTGCATTCAAAACTCGCGATGGGTTGTACGAGTTTACCGTCATGCCCTTTGGCCTCAGGAATGCACCGGCCACCTTTCAAAGTTTCATGGATAAGGTGTTTCGCAATCAGATCAATCAATTTGTTGTTGTTTATTTGGATGACATACTAATCTTCAGCAAGTCGATGGAGGAGCACATGGGACACCTTGAGGAAGTGTTGCAGATCCTCAAGAATGCGCAGCTTCATCTCAACTTGGAGAAATATGAGTTTGGGAGGGATAGCGTCATCTACCTTGAACATCGGTTGTTTGTTGCAGGCCTAGAGCCCGAGGCAACCAAAGTTGAGGTCATCCGCAAATGGCCTCAACCGGCAAATGTCCGCGAGTTGCGTTCTTTTCTTGGTTTTGCGTCATTCTACCGTAAGTTTGTACCAAAATTCTCTATCATTGCCCGACCGGACCAGCAAGAATAAGTCCTACACATGGGATGGGGAATGCACAACAACCTTCCAAGCATTGAAGGAGGCTTTGGCGAGTCATCCGGTGCTCCACATTGCAAACTTACATTCGTAGTATTTACGGATGCACGCTTGTATGGGATTGGTGCAGTGCTACAACAAGATGATCGCGACGACTTACGTCCACTCGAATTCTACAGCAAACGTACGCCCAGTCACAAGGTAGCTGCCTCCACTTACATGCGAGAACTTTATGCCTTGACAGCGACACTAGATCATTGGAAGCACTACCTCTTGGGTCGCCATTTCAAAGTGTTCTCAGACCACGAGACTTTGAAATGGATTCAGACACAGAATAATCCATCAACTACATTGACCCGCTGGTTGCATGAGATTGTTGTGTATGATTTTGAACTTAGGCACAAGAAAGGTTGTTACAATCGCGTTGCGGATGCTTTGTCTCGCCACCCTCAGTACATGACTTGTCTTGTGGGCTCCTATGATCTCCGTAAGAACTTGAAGGAGGAACTAGTTGAGCATACTGCCAAGGACTCAGAACTCAGTCCCGTCCTTGAGCAGATCGAGGCTGACCCTAGCAGTCAGCCTGACTTTCGTGAATGTAAAGGTTTGCTCTTCCGACATTACGGGAAGTACGACCGTCTGTGTGTACCCAATCATGAGCCTATCCATACTCACTTCTTGGACTTGGCTCATGGCCGGCACTTCGGTTTTGAAAAGACATACGGAAGTCTGTTGCAAAAGTTTGTATGGCCTGGGATGAAAGGAATGGTACAAAAGTTTATGGTTGAGTGTGAAGTTTGTCAACGCATCAAGCCATCTCGGCAGAAGCCCTTTGGGTTGCTGCATCCTCTTCCTATTCCTAATGGCCCGGGTGAGTCACTTTCCATCGACTTCACGGGCATGAGAAAGAAAAGTAGGAATGAGTATTCGCAAGTAATGGTGATCGTTCACCGCTTTTCAAAATTTTTGAATTTGATTCCATTACCACCTCACGCCCCAACTGACCTTGTGATCAAAGAGTTTCACAAGCAGTACATTTTGCAGTGTGGGCCCCCAAAAACTCTTGTGAGTGACCGGGACACTAGGTTCATAAGTGCAGATTGGAAGGACTTCACCTCCTTGATCTATGACATCAAACTCAAGATGACGTCTGGTCGACATCCCGAAGCCAATGGACTGGCCGAGGAGATTTACCAGACTGTGATCCAACTTCTCCGAGCTCTAATTCTGCCTGATCAGAACTCTTGGGATGAGGAATTGCGGATTGTGCAGGGATTGTACAACAACTCCATACACTCCTCCACCGGGATGACACCTAACCGGTTGCACCTTGGGTGGAAAATGCGCAATCCCCTATCCTATCTGTTTCCTGACCAGCCACCTGGCCTAACACCTGGCCAGCCAGGCTACAATGCTAAGTTTGATCGCTTGCTCAAAGTTGTTGTCGCTGCTATGGAAAGGCGACGCAGTGCCATGATTAAGCATGCTAACAAAAAACGCCATCCTGCACCTTTCATAGTGGGAAGTTATGTCTGGGTCAAAATGTCTGAGTTTTTTGAAGAAGAAGGTGTATCACGAAAGCTTCTTCCTCAGTATTACGGTCCGTGTAAGGTGTTGAACCAAGTAGGGGAAGATTCATTTGGTCCTTACACGAGCGACGTGCCTACTCATTTGCGCACATACCCAGTCTTTCACGCGTCAAAGTTGTTTCCGTATGAACCACCCGAAACTTTTCCGTTTCGAGAATTGATGATCCCTCGCGCAGTCAATGGCGGCCACGAGATTGATGGAATTGTCGAGCACAGTGGAAAGGGGAGAAACAAACAGTATAAAGTCCATTTTTTGTACCACCTGTTGAATGACTTTTATTGGATTGCTAAGAAAGACTTGTTGCAAAGTGCCCCGCGAGTCGTCAACGCATATGAACGACTGATTAGCTCCAAACAACAACCTAAATTCACTGCTACCCTCACTCCTACGGAACATACCCGATCTCTCTTTGCTATCTACGCTTATGATGCATTATGAAAAGACTCTGATTGAGTTACTCGCTCGAAGGGACCTCGCTGTTGAGGGGGGGGTAGTGTAATGACCCGCCATAACACAGACTGAGAACACTGCTGATTTTTGAAGTTATGCCGATGGAATGGATGCCTTGCTGAGATTCTCGCATTCTGCTGAGTTTTCTAAGTGTGTATGTGTGCGTGCTTGTTGACCTGCATGCCTGTCTGAGTGATTGTCGGTATGAGTGTGTGTGTGACCCGCAAGGGTACTTGCTTGTTTGGCAGGCCCGTAGGGCCGGTACGTACCTGTGGCCGTGACATTGAGGGTTGCAGCAGGGAAAACACTCAAGTAGCGGAGCCAGGGGCCCGCGGTGCTTAGAGCAGCGGAAAAACACTCAAGTAACAGGTAGGCCGGTACCGCACTCAGTAGCGGTAGATGTGCTAGGTACTCGAGGCCGAGCAGAAGAAGACAAAGTTGGCATTTTTAGAGGCCCAGTAGCGGTACGCTAGGTCTAGGCCGGTACCAGTCCATCCAGTCTGAGTTTAGAGCCTGTACGGGCAATATCAGAGTCTGCAATGATGTTTCCCTCTGAAAGGGAGGAGGTACCGCTGCTTGGGAGGCCGAGCGGCCTGGAAGTCACCGCCCAGGAGGCAAGTAGGCTGCTATATCAAGAGGCCGAGGGAAGAGCTCGGCCTCATTCTTCAGTGTGCGAGTTGGGCATCATGCTGCTGGAGTGTTGGTTGGAAGAGCGCTGGCTGCTACAACGCTGCTGGGAGGAAGAAGTCGGGAGCTTCCACCTTGGCTATGGTGGAGCTCTACTGGTAGGAGGAGGAGGGAGAAGGGGACCAAGGAGGAGAGTGGCGAGGTACTTACCTGGCTATGGTGGACAGCATCTTCATCACCTTGTTAGGCGCTGCATCTGGAAGGCCCCCGTTGGGGTAGTGCCGCACCAAGGAAGCTCGGGGCAGAGACAGGCATGGCGGGCTAGTGAGCAGCGGCATAGCTGCTTTGCATTGTCCTTTGCACAGAGAGGCAGCGACATAGCTGCTTTGGGTGGTCATTTGGACAGGAGGGTAGAGCCCTCAATGCTCCGCCATAGCCTCGGCCTGCATGTAGAGGAAGAGGAAGGGTGGCCATGGCTATGGTGGACCTCATGTTGTGCCTGCAAAAGAAGTGGGATTTAGACATTGATTTTGGTTCAACCATTCAACATTATTATTGTTATTTCTTGTTTGAATAAGAGGGGAGGAGATAAGGAGGATGAGAGTGGTTGGCGAAGAAGAGGAGCCTTGTCATTGGCCTATGCTGGAGTACATCATCTTCTTCTTCTTTCTTACTTCTTCTTCTTCTTCTTTCCCTCTCTCTACTCTCAAGTTCATTCATTTCTTTTTGCAATTGGATGGCATTGTACATTCGGATGAATGTATACTTCGAAATTGGCCAGGATCGTAACATCTTTTAATAGCCATTTCGTCAAAACGGACATATTATATTTTTTGAACGAAATTAAAATTGAGCTTTTGGGCCAAAATCTGGTCCAAATTTTTGACTCCTAAGGGTCCGCCACGGTGGACCCCCAGGAGCCAAAAATTTGGACCGGATTTTGGACCAAAAGCTCAATTTTAATTTCGTTCAAAAAATATAATATGTCCGTTTTGACGAAATGGCTGTTTTTGGTGCATGTCGACAGTAGTGGAGCCATGCCCAGAGTCTCAGGAACACCCCGCACAGCCCACCGAGAATAATGTTGTTTATTATTTTTTCTTTTCTATCTTCCTTTTTTTGTGTGTGTGTGTAACCTACCGGTAGCTCGAGACTCGACATGCTTCGAAATACGGGCAGACTGAGGGTCGGGTTGTTCTGGAATAGGGCCGGGCCTGAACTTAGCCGCGGCCCAGCGCCAACCCCATCCTGGGCACAACAGGAAAAAAGTTGAAAAGGAGACGATTCTCAGTGGCCAACCTGACTTTGATGCATCCTTCAATTCGACCCAGGAAAAAGTGAAACGAAAAAGCTTAAAAAGAGGGGGGGGAAAGCGAAAAAGGGTCTCGCTCCACTACACTAGACTCTCGAAAATTTGAGAGTTCTGCATCGCTCCACTTAAACTAAACAAACGGTTTCGAAATGTGTGTCGAGTGTTGTCCGAAAGTGTGGTAGACCGACACTTTCTACTCCTCTAGTGTTTGCCCGCCTGCCACACCCGTTTTCTCAAGGGTCCTGGGTGCTGGTCTCGAAACGGTGCCGAAATTCGAGGGTCCACCGCAAGTCTGGGTGGACAAACCAGGCTGGCAGTGGGTGGACAAATCAGGATGGCGGTGTCCTTTTGTGGAATCTGCCTTCCGTAGACTGTCCAAAGTGCGGCCCATGTATCTTTTCGTGTTGTAACAGAAGATTCATTCTCAATTTGCAGATTTGGCCAGTGGTTTCTTCGCTCCACTACACTTGACTCCAGTTTAGAGTGTAAGAGAGTCCGTCAAGAGTAGAGCCCTCTTGTGTATGTGGAGCGAGGCCTACTTTTTTGCTATTTTCTAGAGTCTGACAACTCTTTTTTTTTTTTTTTTTTTTTAAAACCCCACCAGTGTTAGTGGTGCTTGTAAGAGCAGACACCACTAACACATGTGGAGAGGCTCCATCTATTGGTGGGGAGCATCACCTGCTGCAAAACGGGTCCAGCGTCTCTTATACAAACAATGAGAATGTTCGAGAACAATGAGAATAGTGACCGTGGGCCCTGCCAGCATTGATTGCCCTGCAATCCAGGGGATTGACTGAGTCTATATAGTGACCATTGCCATCTGTACCTCTTCACCCTCAAAGGAAGGGCGCCAACTAACACAGTTAAGGGCTGGTACAGTTTTAGAGAAAATGTTGGGAAGTCCTCTCTTCACCTCCTCTCTTTGTGGTGCCAGATCTTTTGGATCTAATCAATGCTTTATTTTCAGTAAGATGGGGTAGACCCTTAAACCCCTAAACCCTTACTTCTCTCCCTGGTATCTAAAACCTTAGTAGTATTGTTCCACTTTCCTTGCTTAATTTCCTCCATCCCTCCCATACCATTCCAAACCCACCAAGCAATTTGACGGGGGGGGGGCAGAAGGGATAAGGGAAATCTTCGCTGGGTCTCATCGGGATTGATGTATCGATCTTAGTCCACTCATGAAAAAGGAGCCGGTAGTCTTTCACTAGATCTTTTCTCTCTTGTCCTTCCCCTAAATCCTTTTGTCCCCCTTGCCATTCCACTTTTGCAATCCTCCCCCCGTTTGTCCCCTCCAAGCCAGCTCAGGCTAAATTCCTTCATTCTTTGTTGGATGTTTTTTTGTGAATGTAGTAATTGGATCTGAACCTTAACTTTCTCCCACTTTGCCCTTATTTCTGTTTGGATCTGTTGCTATATGCTTTTCGTGAATTCGGGTCCGTCCAGTCTTGCTCTTTCCATTTCATAGGTATAGCGTCGTCACCAGAGGGCCCAGAGTACCGCCCTACGTCCCAGTTTGAACATATTGCTGGTGAAATCGTTCAATAGGTCGTTCGGCCAGGTTTCGCACAACAAGGTTTTCCAGTCCCACGACCACTGGATTTGAGTTTCTAGTTGTTCCCCGATTTTGTCCCTCCACCGCCACAGCCACACCACTCCTGGGCGCTGAAGAAGTATGTGTTCAATTGTTTTCGACATTTTTCTGGATGGGAACGCATTGGTGCAGAGCCTACAGCAGGGCAGGGCATGCCCTCTCTGATCGAGGTTCGTTCTATCTATCAGCCAATCATTTGTCGGTCGGCAGCGGTGCTCGATCTGCCACTGCAGTGAAGCGAATTTCGTTGGTTTGTCCTTAATCGTTATGAACCACCTTACGTCTCTTACCTTGTCCTTGTCGATGTTTAAGTGGTTCATCCAGCGTGTCTCCACCCGGTCATGAAGGTTTATTCTCGGCCTAAGGAGCTTATAGGTCGATTTTACTGTTAGGCCATATAATGTTCTAGTGAGTTTTCTGGCCTTCCCCGCTGGAGTTGTCCATGCCCATTCTAACGGATCCAGGGCGAGTTAGTGGACCGGGATATGGGGGAGATAGGCGATCCATTGGTCTCTTTCATGGAGCACTCTAATTCTGAAAAGTTCCTCCCGTTGGCATATAATTGTTTCTTCCGGAGAGGTTCTTTGAAGGACGTTGTTCCAACTTAGTTGGAAGAGGTTTACTCTTATTGATCCGTCGGGCTCGCAGTAGACGATGTTGCCCACCTCACTTGTTCGGTCCCTCAATGCGACCCAGTCCAACTCCTGCAGGGTGGGGCCTTTCCTTAGGATTTTCCACCAGGCTAGGGGGATCTTTTCTATTATAGCTTCCAAGGCTTCCTCTGGTCGATGGCAGTAACGTAGTTTCTCTCTTAGGTGGCCCGGGTCAATCCAACTTCTCTTTTCCACATCCCATATGCCTTTTATCCTTGTTATTCCTCGCCTGGCCCAGCCTTGTCATGGAAAATCCATGCAATGGAGGGTTTGTCCCTTCGAGTCAACTACCCTTCTGTTACCAAAAAGGGGTTGTCGTGCTACCTCTTCCCATCTCTCTGGAGGGGTTTTATCCGGTAGGGGAAGACTTCTCCATATTTTCAGAAGGTCAGGCCAGAAGGGGTCATTGCGCAGGTCGGCCCTTGCTGCTTAATTGGGTGAGTGTGGGAGGGGATCATGATGTTGCACACCTCCTCTTGGGATGGGCCATCCCCTATTTTCCAGCCACTTCAAAGGGTCACTCCCCTCAACTCTTTGTGGTGCTAAGCGGGTGATCTGTTCTAGAACTAGCCCCCTCCATGGTGATTCTAGATTAAAAAGTAGATGTTTGAGCCATTGAATTGCAAGTGCTTTAGTTTGTATCGAAGGATCAATAATGCCCAATCCACCTTTCGATTTGGGTTGGATTATGGATTGCCAAGCCACTCTGCGGATCACTTTGTGCTTCTCATGATCACCTCTCCACAGAAAGGCCGCTATCTGATGCCGCATGGGGCGACGGGCGTTTTTGTCTAATGCCCAGATAGCTGATTTATACCAAAGGGAGGC